CTTCTCCTTCTTCTTCTTCTTCTTCTTCTTCTTCTTCTTCTTCTTCTCCTTCTTCTTGGGCCTCCACTCATCGTCATGAACAGCGAGGCGGCGAATCTTGTCATATTGCACTCCAATGAATTGACGCCCTACCATGCTAGCAAAGTTAGCTTCCAGGGATTTTTACACCATGACCTCGAGCATCATATCGTGAACTCTGCACGACTCCACAGACCCATTGAAGCCGATCTGAGCCGGCTGAATCATGTTTCTGCTTAACAGCTCATTGAAATATTCTTCTGCTACCTCTATCAAGGACAGCCCCCTCTTCTCGGCAATTGATCCTTCAGCCATCCATTTGTACAGTAGCATGTTCTTTGGAATCTCATAGTCCTCAGGGAAAATGCTGAAATACATCATGCAAGCCTTGAGATGATGAGGTAGGTAGTTGTAGCTTAGTGTTAACAACTGCCTCATGCCCTCCAGTGTAGGGTTGCTCTCCATCTCAGAACCAATTGAGTTGCAAACTCTCTTCCACTTCTCTAACCGCCCATTGGACTTGTAACCTGCTAGGAGGCTGGCAATGCTAACAATTGCCAATGGCAATCCACTGCACTTACCAAGTATACTTTCCGTGATGAGTTTAAGTTCATCTGGAAGGGTGCCCCCTGTGCCAAAAACTCTATTCACAAACAAAACCTTGGAAGCTGCTGCGTCTAGGGGCTCCATACGATGGATGCACCTGTCTTCTGAAAGGCTTGCTGCTTTGGCCACAGTCTCCATCCGAGTTGTCACAATGATTCTGCTCCCGCAGTTACTCTTAGGCAGTCTGAAGTGGATTGCTTCCCAGACTTGAACGGTCCATACATCATCCACGACAATTAGGTACCTATTATTTTCATAAAAAAATTTTGAGACAAGTCTAATTAAAAATTGTTGCTTATGGTGAAGGATGTTCAAGGTAGAGCAATAAAAAAACTCTAGCTAGCACCGGCTGCTGCAGAATTTCTTCTGACGATTTTAATTACCATACCAGTTCTTATTTCAAGGTTTATTCTATCCCTCTCTACACCGGTTATGTTGCATTCTGCCATTCCCAATTTTGCCATAAGCAGTTACCGTCTCGGAAGATAAAATACTCATATTTACGGCTTATAGGGTAAGTGTAGCATTGCAAATAAGCTTACAACTTACTCTACTAACAAGCAGTACTCCCTCTGTTTTGTAATATAATACGTTTTACAAGCATAAGAAACACGAATGAAGGACAGGACCAGTGCATGCCGATGGTAACTGTTTTAATTCGGTTACCATCCTTACCTTGCTTTTTAGTACTACCATCTGAAACAAAAGTCTATGTTCTAAAAAAACAAGGCTCCATGAGACTTACGGTACAGACATGCAGTCAGTAGCCATATACTCCCTCCGTTCTTAAATATTTGTCTTTTTGAGATTTCAAATGGACTATCACATACAGATATATATAGACATATTTTAAAGTGTAGATTCACTCATTTTGCTCTGTATGTAGTCACTTGTTGAAATCTCTAAAAAGACAAATATTTAGGAACAATGGAAGTAGAAAAGGAAAAAGTTGATGGGACCATGCACACGCGTGTCCAGCCAGTAACGAAATTAATATGTTACTACTGTTTTCATGGTTGATTACTATGTATCATAAGAAAAATGTTGGTGAGACCATGCACCCACGTGTCCAGCCAGTAACGAAATTAAGTACTTCCTCCGTCTACGTGTATAAGTCCCTTTACGAAAACCAAATAATTTTAAAATACTTAGGCGCAGTGCATTAACTCCCACTTCGTTTCTTGTTTCTTGACATACTAACCAATAAGAGATGTGGGTGTGCATGTTTTCAATGACTGAAGACTACCAAACCTGACATACAGTGGTTAGTTCATTGCATGCAATGCTATTAATTAGCAAATAAATATTAAGTTCTCTCGTTTTTCCATCCTTCTTGGTCACCGTGCACAACCCAAAATGACTTATTTACCTAAATGGAGGATGTGATTACTTTTTCATGGTTGATTACTATGTATCATTATGAGCATGCATGTAAAAAAGACAAATGGTGGCAGGGCCGTGAACTAGTGGGTGCAGATCGTAACTGAATTTATTTGGTTACTATATTTCTTATGGATGTTTACTGTGTATTACTACGACCATGCACATAAAAAAATGGTGGCGGGACGGTGAACCGATGCATGCAGATGGTAACGAATTAATTCTATTACTATATTTTCCATGGATTTTACTAGCAGGTGGAAGAATAATGGCTGATTAATCCGAACGACGCATGCGCCACAGGCGGAGCACAGAATAAGCGTGGTTGATTAATCCGAACGACGCGTGTGACACGAGCGGAGCGTAGAATAAGCGTTTTACGAACTGATGCATGCAGAACTAGTATTATTTTCTATCATAGCTTGCCACAGAATTAGTTAAGGCTTTCAACGGTGTAAAAGTTTCTAAAAATACTGTAAAAATACTGAAGCAACATACCTATAATATAACATGATCCAATAGAGGTTTAACAAACTACGACTGTATGTGCCATGGACAAAAAAATCAAATAGTTCAGTGTGTGATTGTGTGTGTGTGTGTCTATATATATATATATATATACGGCTGCGCTAAACTAAGCCTGAGCGCAGAATCCTAATTCTACGCTCCGGCCAGGAAACGGCGCGCATGTCTGACCAAGCAACCCAGTTCCTCTTCCACTTGGTCGTAATACCTTTGCTAATTCTAGTAAAAAACGTCCAGCCAGTTACGACCAATTGCCAGAGTGCTCCCTTCCTCGTTAACTGTCCCCTGGCCCACACATCTTTCCCGTGCATATCAAATGATTTACATGGTTTTGCATGGTAACCAGTAGTAAAACTACTTTCGCTCTCATGCACGGTAAAAGAAACTGGCACATATGGTAACGGACTAGATCTATTACGAGATGCCATACACCACTCTTTAATTCTCTGACATAAAATGATAGCTTTTATGCAACCAGTAACCCAATAAATTATGTTACTATATTTTACATGGTTGATTACCATGTGTGATTGGAGCAGACAAGTAATAAAGCAAAACTGTGGTGAGATGATGAACCATCACAAGCATACGGTAACCAAATTAATATTTTACTACATTTTCCATGGATGATTACTATATGTAATCAGGAGGACGCATATAATAAAAAAGTTGTGGCGGAGCGGTGAACCATTGCTGCAGCCAGTAACCGAATTAATTCAGTTACTATATCCAACATGGCTGATTACTAGTAGGTGGAAGAAAAATTGGAGGCCAAGGCACTAACCACGCGCATGTTTTCTGGTTGGTTGCACGCTGTTAGGCCGGAGCGTAGAATAAGCGTATTGCGCTCAGGCTCACTTTAGCACACCTATATA